GTCTAATTTTCTCTAGTTTGTTCAAAACACAGAGAAAATTGTGATTGTTTTTGGTTTCTAAATAGCCTAATTTTCTCTAGTTTGTTCAAAATATAGAGAAAATTTCTCTGATTTGGAGTCTAGAGAAATTTTAAATTTCTCTAGTTTGGAGAGAATTTCTCTGGAAAGTCCAGAGAAAATTAGAGAAATTTGTACAAACCAGAGAAATTTTGAGAGAATTTCTCTGAGGTCTAGAGAAATTTTCTGGATTGAAATTTCTCTGAATTGATATATAAGGGACCTTAGATATTATGAAAATATTAGATATCTTTTATACTATAAAATCTTAATAATAGAGACCCTAAAAAAAATCCCCTATATTATATGATTAGATTTAATTAAAATATTAATTATTATCAATTATTAATCTTAAGTTATCCTCTTTTCAATTTTTATTGAGAAAATTATTTTTAAATACTTGTATCATAATTAGTTTATAAAAAATTATTGTATTTTAATAAGTCTTATTATTTTAAAAATTTGATTTACCAAATAATAATTATCATATTTAATGTATTTTATGGATAATTTTATCCTTATAAATATTTTTCGAACCCTTAATAATTTGGGGTACTTACGTGTAAGTCCTAATAAGTAGACTTATTGTCTAATAAGTCCTATGAAAAAAACTTGTCATAAAAAAGTCACTAATTGTAAGTTTTAGCGACAATTTATAAAAATTATGACGAAAAAAGTCACTAATTGTCAATTTTTAGCGACGTATGCAAAAAATTGTCAAAAAAAAATTTATTTTTAACGACAATATTATCCAGACTTATTTTTAATAGGACTTGATATAAATTAAGTCAAGCTATTAGGACCTATTGGTAGTTTACCCTAATAATTTGGAGATGTGAACATTCATATTAAATAAATTTAGTAGCGTAAATGTTCATATCATAGAATATTCACACTATGTAAACATTAATACGTGTTTTACCCTATTATAATTAAGAATATTTTGATAATTATATTACTTATAAAATTTATTAAAATATATAAAAATAATTTACATAAAATTCAACATAATAGCTAAAGAGGAATTTATAAATGCCCATTTTTATTCATTGTAATAATTTATTACTAGTTTCCTTTTTTAACCTATGCCTCGTGACGCCGTTAAAGATACTGGCCAAGCTCGATTAATGTCAAAACCAAATCAAATCAAACCAAACTAAACCAAGCCTTAAGTCCCATCAAATGGGGTCGGCTACATGAATCATTCTTCTCCACGCAGCCCTATCAAAGGCCATTTCATTAGTCAAATTAAATAGATTCATATCTCTATTTATAACGCTAGTCAACGTTAATCTAGGCCTACCCTATCCCCTAACACTTCCATCTACCGTTACAGTATCGCATCTCTTCACTATTGCCTCTGTTGGTCTCCGTTGAATATGACCAAACCATCTCAAATGATTCTCTCTCAACTTATCTTCTATCGGTGCTATTCCTATCCATTCCCGAATACACTCATTCCTAATCCTGTCTTGTCTAGTCTTATCACACATCCACCTTAGCATTCTCATCTCAGCCACACTCATTTTACCTACATGTTGTTTCTTGGTTGCCCAACACTCCGTCCCGTACAACATAGCTGGTCTAATAGCCGTTCTATAAAACTTACCTTTTAGTCTAGTGGGTATTCGTTTATTACACAATACCCCAGACGCACTTCTCCACTTATACCATCCCGTCTTAATCATATGGACCACATCTGTATCAATCTCTCCCGCTGTTGTGATAATCGACCCTAAATAACGAAAATGTTCACTCTTAGGCAGTTCTTGGTTCTCAATATTCACTTTTTCTCTGCTTTCATTGTTACTGTTACTAAATTTATACTCCTTGTACTCTGTCTTAGTTCTACTTATCCGGAATCCTTTAGATTCAAGAGCTTTTCTCCAAATCTCCAACTTTGTGTTAACTCCTTCTCTAGTCTCATCCACTAACACAATATCGTCTGCAAAAAGCATACACCATGGCACGTCATCTTGAATATTTATCGTCAACTTGTCCATAACTAAAGAAAAAAGATAAGGACTTAAGGCAGATCCTTGGTGTAACCCTACAGTGATAGGAAATTCATTTATCTCTCCAGCTGGCGATCTAATAGTGGTCACTACCCCTTCATATATGTCCCTAATCACGTCAATGTAGCCTTTTGTCACCCATTTCTTCTCTAACACCCACCATATTATATCTCGGGGCACTCTGTCATATGCTTTCTCAAGGTCGATAAACACCATATGAATGTCTCTTTTCTTTTCTTTATACTTTTCTATTACTCTCCTCAAAAGATAGATCGCTTCCATTGTTGACCTACCAGGCATAAACCCAAATTGATTCTCTGAAACCTCTGTTATGTCTCGCAATTGGCGTTCCATCACCCTCTCTCACACTTTCATTATATGACACATTAGCTTAATTCCTCTATAGTTGTTACAATTCTGGACATCACCTTTATTCTTATAGATTGGCACTAAAATACTCTTCCTCCACTCATCTGGCATGTTCCTAGTCAACAAAATTTTGCTAAACAACCTAGTCAACCAAGCAACTCCCTTTTTACCCAAACACTTCCAAGCTTCAATAGGGATATCATCGGGTCCTAAAGCCTTATTTGATTTTATCTTCTTAAGTGCGATCTCCACTTCAAAGTTCCTAATACTGCGATAGAACCTATAGTCTTGGTTTATCGTATTACTGGCTATTTCTTCCCCTATTGTCGTATTTCCATGTTCCTCATTTAACAGTTTCTCAAAATAATTCTTCCATCTTTCCTTAATCTCATCATCCTTCACCAATACCTTTGAATCCTCACTCTTGATGCACTTTACTTGATTAAAATCTCTTGTTTTCCTCTCCCGTATCTTAGCAAGTTTGTATACCCTCTTCTCTCCCTCCTTACTATCTAGTCTAGTGTATAGGTCATCATAAGCTTTCAACTTAGTCTCTCTCACTACTTTCTTGACTTCCTTATTAGCCAATCTATAGCTCTTAAGGTTTTCCTCAGTTCTATCATTCTGCCACTTTTTAAAGCACTCTTTTTTTGCCTTAACTACCGCTTGAACCTCTTCCCTCCACCACCAAGTTTCCCTAGAGCTGGGTCCCGTTCCTTTCGACTCTCCAAGCACTTCCCTTGAGATTCTCCTCATACAATTGGCCATCGAATTCCACATAGTGTTAGCATCACCTTCTAAGTCCCAAGTACCTTCATTATCCATTCGATTCTTAAATATTTCTAGTTTATCCCCTTTTAGGTCCCACCATCTCGTCCTACGACGCCCACCATCCTTCCTACCTTGGTATTGCCCTTTAAAACATAACTCTAGTACCAAAATCCTATGTTGAGAGACCAGACTCTCTCCAGGAATCACCTTACAATCATTGCATTTTAGGCAGTCCACTTTTCTCACTAAGAAGTAATCTATTTGGCTCTTAACTAATCCAGTCTTAAAGGTTATCAAATGCTCATCCCTCTTCTTATACATAGTATTGGCCACCACCAGGTCAGAAGCCAACGCAAAATCTAAGATTCTCTCTCCAGCCTCATTTTTGTCACCAAAACCGTATCCACCATGCACCCATTCATAACCTAGTTTATCTATGCCCACATGGCCATTAAAATCTCCATCAATAACCAGGTTCTCTCCTACGGATATCTCCTGTAAGATCTCATCCATTTGCTCCAAAAAATCCCTCTTAGTCTGATCATCTAACCCTACTTGAGGGGCGTAAGCGCTAATAATGTTCACTATATTCCCTCCAATAACTAGTTTAACTAGCATAATCCTATCTCCTTTCCTAGTGACCGCCACCACTTTCCACAAGACCCTTGGCAATTATGATTTCTACCCCATTCCTGCGTCTATCCTTACCACTATAATAAAGTTTAAAACCAGTATCCTCAATTTCCCTAGTTTTCTCTCTCGTCCACTTAGTTTCTTGTATGAAAGCTATACTAACTTTCCTCCTAATCATAACATCTACTAATTTCATCGTCCTACCAATTAAGGTTCCTATGTTCCAAGTGGCTACCCTAAACCTATAGTCTTGGACTAGCTTCTTTACCTGCCTCGTCCAGAAAAATGCGAAAATCTTTGCCCATTTTTCACTGCACCCAGGCGTCGATGCAGCGCCCCTTGCACACTTTTCGAAACACCCAGAGGCAGGCGCAACGCGTCACTTGAGGGGAACGACCTAGCATTTAAACGATTCAAAGTAAGATTCATTTTCATAAGGGATCCGAGCGGCTTTTTTACGTGTTGGCTGTCGGCTACCTAACACACAACCCTCCTCCTCAACCCGGGCTTGGGACCGGCAGAGTTGTTAACAACCCCGGCGGAGTTAAGCTCGATTAATGTCACTGCCGCTGAAAATTGCAGATTATTATTTTTTTCGTTCAGTTTAGTTCCTCCGAAAATTACAGAAAAATTGGTTTGCCCTCGTATCATAACGCTCAAATTTTTTTCGCACAGTTCATAGCCCCGTATGTTTTCCAGAGTAGCAGTTCATTATGGACTGTGATGGATAAATAATAAGCTTAACTCATGTTTATTTTGTTTGTGGCTTTTTGGATTGATAATACATTCGGATTAGAATAGGCCTTGGACGAGCGGATTGTAAGTCTAGGTAAAGAGGTAGTATTAGAAAATAGTTCATCGACTTTAGTGAGTTACCAATCGTCTGTTGGAATATTCGGCCAGTCAACAGGTCAAATGCAATTTTTTTTTATTTTTTTTATAGATTTTGGGCATTTTTTTTATAAATATTAATATTTAATGATTTTAGATTTTTTGTTAAGTAAAAATCATAATTTTATTTATTTTATTATTTTATATTTATGTTATATAAAAATAATTCAACAATTCTCATATTAATAATTATCATCAAAATAAAAACAATTTTATTAATTTTTACGCTATCAATCCCCTCGTTATCACTATCTTTATTTTATCCCTAAAATCAAACGGGATCATAAGATTTTTCGAGAGTTGTGCATCCTTCCATTTTATTTATGAAAACAAACGGAATCATAGGTTTTTGTGAGAGTTGTGCTAATCTCCCGTTGCTGGGGTCTGAGTTGGAAACTTTCCCCACGTCTCGAAATCCTGCAATTCAAGTAGAGCATTCTTGGAGAAATTCGCATATTGGAATCGGAGCTATGAATCCATTGACAACGAATTCAGCATATCAATATCGGAAGAAGCTTCAATTCGATCACACTGAGATGATCTTCTTGCAATGTTTGCACAGTAAAAAGTTCTTTCTAATCAAATCCAGGTATTCGCTCATGCTTTGATTTCCAATTCCATGTAATGAAATTGAAATATTTTCAACTTAATTCATGATGTACCTTTAGAACTATTTGTCATTGTTTGTAGTCGTCGTTAGTATTATACTTGTTTTATACGTTGTAATAATGACACCCAACTGGTCCTCGGTCTCCAAATTTGATTTATGAAACGTTGTTGTTCCCAATTAACCAATTTGGCATTGTAACACTGCATTCAACAACCAGCTCGCGTAGCCCATTGGTATAGGGTTTGCATTGGGATGAACCATGCGTTGGCCTTAATTGACACACGTGGTTTACGGGCAGAGGGGTGGCTAGGGTTTCCAAAACCTCTTAAATTTTAGTGTTTTGCTCTTGGGTTGGGTATGTGAAAATTTAAAGATGTGTGGCCCCAAGACCCAACTATATAATATTGATTCTTGAAGCTGATTGGGTAAAGTCATTCTCGTGTACAATTGAAGGCCTCTTGACCCCATAAGAAGCTTTTATCTATTGTTGATTTTCCTAAACAATGTTGACGTTGTAAAACTCAAAATTATATGTCAGTCTTGGGAAATTACTATGGACTCTCCTAGGTCTACTCCTTTTTACCTTGAGCTAGTTCATATTATTCACCTTGCCATTAGTTTACGATGCAATTTATATCATGTTCTCACAAAAAAGTTACTTATTCACTCTTAAGGAAATATTCGCTTTCTAATAATACCACAACTATAACCATTGCTTATTTGTTTGATCTACTTCAGAGACAATCTGAATGACTCTCAAATTCTTGGTCGAATCATAAGGGTTGAGCAACTATAAAAAGAAAGAAGAAGATGAAGAGAAAGAGACCAGCAAAAAGGGGTGGCACAAGGAGTTTGTTGTTCTTTCCAAAGAGGTGAATCTGATCATGGAGCTGGATGCAAGTTCTCCCATGATGAACAAGTAAGATCAATGACCCTTGAAGGGAAGCACTATTAGTCATTTTTACTTCCATTCTTAGGTGCAGGTCTACCACCTTTACGATGAAAGTAAACTAGAATCTGCAATTCATTTATCACTTGTATTCGTTAGGTTTAAAGTGAACAGTAAGTCACTGCCAACATTGTAAAGAATACATATCAGATGGATGCCTTGGGTCAAATTTTTGCTCAGTCTATTTATTGCTGTTATATCTGTCGAAAACATAAAACAACCATATGTGTTGAAGCTGGTTTCCTTAATTTTTTCTTCATTCCATTCTTTGTTGCCTTCTGCTGCTGCTACTATTTCTGTTTGAAGCATCATTATTTAAAAATAAGTTGGGGTAAGGTGACTTGCCATGCAATATCTATTATTCTCAGCTTGATGGTTTATATGATGCGAGCCTAATTTGAGTCCTGTTAGAAGGTGCTTACTTGAGCTTTGGTTTTTCTTTATCCAGAGAGCTGCAAGCACTGGTTGGGGTCCTTAGGATAAAAATTCAAGATGGAGTCATGACAGGTTTGAGAGTCCAACAAAGAGCGAAAAATCTGGCACTCGAATCTCATTTCAGAGTCTACTGCTCAAGGACTTAGATCAAGTGATAAAGATTCAAGAAGTTCAAGAACAAAAGCAGCGAAGGTGAAGACTAACAAGAGCCAAGAAAATTGAAATCTAAAGATCTGAACAGTAGAGACCGTAAGAAACAATCAGAATGGGAAGAAGTGATGAATCACGAAGAAGCTTGGGAGTTGGGATAAGTGAGTAGCAGGAACAAAAAAAATCCAGAATGGCATGATGCTGAATGAAATTTAAGAGATCATGATAGGTGGAAGGAAAAGATATCAAGAAGGCATGAATCAGAATCCTGTCATAGAGAAAATAGAGTGGAAGGCGCAAAAGGTGAGATCATGATAGAGATTCTTCCGTCCATTGTCATAGAGTGACAGATGAAGATTGCCGTCCTAGATCACACAGACAAATGTTTTTTTAATATATTTTGTATAGAACAAGATCTGTGTACAGAAATTACTGATATGCACTAGGATCATTTCGTTGATGCCATAGTGAGGATTTATATATTTTCCCCTCTTTTTTTCCTGGCCTGCCTAATGTGTCTTTTGTTTTTTTTGTCTAAGAAGATAATTTTGGGAGATGAACCGTAAGCTTATTTCATTGATAGCATGAGGAGGATAGCATGAGGAGGGTTGCCTGTGATTCAGGCATGCCATCCTATCAACAAGAAATGATGATCCAGTGATTGTAGCTCTTCATACGTAGACCTAAAGCTGTGTTTAAAATTACATGTTTTTCGGATGAAATGGCAAATTCATTACAAACTTGCTGGGGTTTCGTGCCTTTTTGCAAGATTTAGGTATCCCAGATAGAATCACTCTTGTAGCAAGCTTGCGTCAATGTGCTTTTATAACATAGTTGGAGCTCAGCATGCCATTCATGGTAGAAGATTTCATTGGTGTCTCTAGAGAAGAGAACCACTCTTGTTGCAAGCTCTCATTACCTCCTGACAACGTTTGCATTATTGTCATACAAAATTTGCTATTTTTACCTTTTTCTTCTTCCTTCTTACTGGGTGTTTGTGTGTTGAGGAGTCTTGCACTTGAACCCTTGACTTCTTAACGAGAGACACAGAAATTTTGGCCAAATTTATTGACCTTTATCAAGTGTCCGAAAAGTACTTATTTTGCTTCAGTACAATTAGTTTCAAATATTTTATCATATATGGTGCAATATTTGCCTACAAGGATTATTCAATGTGTAGTAGCTTCTGCTAATTTAACTGACAATGAAACAGAGAGTTCAGCTCAACTCAATTCATCAACAAGTAAATTCAGGCTTGTGCTGGTCCTTGGATGCATCAACTTTAGCCGAGGCATCACCATTGGATATACCAATTTATCTGTGAGGTGCTTTATTAGCCGATATCGCTGGCATTGGGTTCAAGTCAGGTACCAAAACATGACCACCTTCATAGGTGAAGACTGACTCCTCTGGTTCCACACTTGTTGGTTTCTTCTCAGCCATTGTAGTCTTCCATTGGTTTTTGTTGATGGCTTTTGCATTGACCCATGGCCCCTGTTTTTGATGAGTTTCATTCTCTGTTACAAAGAATTCGATTCTGTTGACAGTCTGTTGATCTTCGGGAAAAGCAATATCATCGGCAGACATCACATCTTCCTGTACATTCGACATGAATTCTTCTATTAGATTAGTAACACTATCATCGACAAGTGATTCTATTGTAAAAACATTCACCAGTTCCTCATTTGGATCCGTCATTTGCTGCTCGGTTATCTTCTGAGCCTCAGCATTCTCCCAATCTTCAGTAATGGTAATTGTGTTGTTTGTTTCCCATGTCTGGAAAAATCGGCCCAGGCTAGGTTGCCAGAAAATTTCCCCCTTGCTTCCTCTAAGTACGTACTTGAATTGTATTGACCTCTCCACAGGTTCATCCTAAGTAAAATTCAGAATATGAGTGTCAAAAATCACTTTGAAGGCAAAATTTATGGTACACACTATCTGGTTACAATGCAAAGTGCTCAAAATTACCACCCAACCACATTGTGTCTCAACTCTAGTAACAGACTGAATCCTAGAAGTGATTTTTGTCGTAATTTTGACCACATCGCAATGTAAACGAAGAGGGATGAACACCATAGATTGACCTTGCATTCAATACAAATGAAAGCATCAGTTCTACTATGTGCACAAAATCCGATCATAGAACCAAACACAACTAACTCTCACATTGTGTCCGGTTCTGTGATCTGAATTTTTCATGAAAACAACTATCCTTCTTTGAAAGAGTTACTTCTCACCAGCTCAGCAGTCCACAAGTGTCCATTTGACCAGTTTAGTGGTACAGCATCTGAGGCATCCCAGCAACTTAAAATAGGGTCATCACCTGCAAGAAAGAAATGCTCACCTCTGCAACTGAAATTTCACATGAACAGTCTTTGATGCCTCTGTAAAAGATTCCAACAAACCAAATGTTTATATAAGTAACTGTCATCTTATTCATACATGAAAAAACTTCAAAAAAAAACTTACGCATTGTTTGGATCCCAGCATCTGCTGTAGTAGAAACCCGTGTTTGGTTAACAAGAAACTGTTATTATATATAAATGGAAATACTGAGAAACTGGAAGAAAGAAGAGAAACGAAAACAATACCTCTGTTTTTGATAAAGGGACGCATTGAACTGTCTTCTTGAGCGGGATTGAGAAGAGAATCAAAGATCCGAAGAAGTTGATCTGTTTCCCAAGAGGGGCTCTCGACAAAGGTAAGCTTTTGCCATTGAAGTTGTTTACAAGGATTCTAGTGGAAGATCTCGTTACTGCTTCCATCTCTACAGACTCAGAGGTAGAGAGAGAGAGAGAGAGAGAGAGAGAGAGAGAGATCTAGCTAGCATTGAGGAAAAATCTCAAGTCTGAAGTGGCATTCATCAGAGTGAGTGAGTTCGTTACTTGGAATTTCTTTCTTTAGTATATTATGAGATTCGATCTATTCTGAAAATCCTAAGTGATTCGTGATTAGATCAAGATTTAATTATTTCAATTCCCAATTAGCCAAAACACATAATCTAAATCATCAAGTACTTACGAAAGTGATTTAGATTGTTATTTTCGAAAAATGATAAATCGACACAAATGATTTTTACGTGGAAAAATCACAATTGAAGTATCTTCAATTGTAATAAAAAATCACGGGTGAAACGCCACTAATCAATCCACTACTAATGAAAGAAAGATTACAAAGATAACAAACAAATTACCCAACTCATCCAATTTGTCTTCAAACCTTCTGTAACTCTTTCACCAAGCCTTTGTCTCGGAACTGATTAATCTGAAGTTGAATCCAAAACTCCATTTGCCGAATCAACGACTACGTACAGAATCAAACTCCTTTGAAACTCCACGTTTGAATCTCCGGATTCCATCGAAGGAGAACACTCTTGTATGTAATCAATCAACCTCCTTGATATGTGCTTTTCAATTCATGAGTTTAATACTCACTCAAATTATCAGGGAAAACTCACAAAAATACTCTAGAAGAAAACCTTAGAAAACCTCAAAGTAGATCTCAAAAACCTAATCCTAGTTTTGTACTAAAACTAGTACATATAGAAATCTGGAACAGCGAAGCTCACTCGAGCGAAGACTCTCTCGCTCGAGCGAAGAACAAATCTCGCGTGTTTTTCCATAAGTGGCTTCGCTCGAGCCACACTACCTTCGCTCAAGCGTACATTCATCCTTCGCAGGTTTTTTGCCAGACGCAGCCTTCGCTCGAGCGAGCACTCCTTCGCTCGAGCGAGAAAGAAAAAACAGCAAGGAAATTACAACTCAATACCTCAAGTTTTGTTTGTGGATTTGCCAAGACTTAAGGGACCTAACAATCTCCCCCTTTGTCAATTTCCGGACAAAACTTTCTAATACAATTTCCTAGAAAACAAATGTACTCACTAAACAAACCAACCTAATGAAAAAACAACTATCAACACAAGCTTAATGGAAATCATGCAATCTAAGAAACCATCAAAACAACAAAATAAACTCCAAGCACAATATCCCAACATTAGTCCAATGCCATTCCAATGCTATGCCAATGCTATGCCAATGCTTCCTGCAAAAATCATCATGAGTGTTCAACATATATCCATATACATCCATATATATACCCCCCACAAAACAATAGCAGATATATCCCCCAACCCAAAACATATACTCCCCATTTTTGTTCAGGAGTGACAAAAGAAACAAGGATATACAGACCATGAAAACTGTCCAAGAAAAAAAACAAAAACTGTCTAAAAACCAAGATCTAAATACTGGGAGAAACTAGGAGGCTAAAGAGGGTGGCTGCTGCATCTGAAGTAATGAAAGAATCTGAGCAAGCATCGTGCTCTGCTTATCAAGTCGACTATCAAGTGTATCTATCCGAGCATCCAACTGATCAAGCCGATGCGTGACGAACTGCTCAAACTGCTGCAACTGACCACGAGGAGTTGCAGCAGTTTGAGCAGTTGCATCAAACTGCTGCAACATCATGAGGAGTTGCATCAAACTCCGCCTCCTCAGCAAGGAGATCATCACCTGCATCAGACACTCCAGACACCCCAACGCCCGACACCCCCCCCCAACATGAGCTTGACTCTAGGAGATTGTCAACTTAGTAACGGGTTTGATAGGAGAAGCAAACTCATCATCATCATAGACCGGAACATCAAGAGAAGTGAGGAATCTAGTGAGCAAGCATCCATACGGAAGGCCTAATGACTTATGTCCCTCAAAAACAGAAATCATCTTGGTGACTATCATCTCGGGTAAGTCAATGGGAAGTTTGTGATCGATGCAATACAACACATAACCCTGATCTTGGGTAATGTGAGAGGAATGAGTGGTCACATGAAGATTAGCACAAACAATGATATTAAGAAGACGGAACCTAGGAAGAAGCTCATTTTGTTGAATGAGCGCCCCAACAATCCAAGTCCGGGGAGAGCCACAAAGCTCAGACACAACTCGATCAAAATTGACACCAGTCCGAGTAAGGAGAGGAAAATGAAAATTTGGGACGTCTTGAAGATCAAGAAACAATCGAAAAACATTGCCGGTGATGTGTAAAGGTGTCTTCCTAACCCAAGTACTAAAGGAGGAAGGAATTTCTTTGCAGATAGAATGCATGTTACAATAGAACTCACGAATAAGACTCAGATTTTGCGGCCCCGAGAAAGGCAGCACTTGATCACCGCCTAAAGAATTGAACAAGGAACGAATGGGTAGTAACTCAAAGGCATTGGGGACAACATTTCTCTCTAGATGGACTTTCCGAGTGGCATAAAACTCCCTAAACAGCTTAGACTTTTCTTTGGATTCGAACTTGTCAGTATTGAATTTGGGACGGGAAATAGTGGTTTTACGATGCTTTGAGGACTTAGCCATTACTAAACAACCCACAAGAGCCAGACAAGCACAGAGAAAAAACCAGCAACCCAAGGTACCCAATGACAATATTAGAACCCCAAAAAAAACAAAAGTAACTAGTAAAACACCATTAGTCCAATATTGTTAGAAAAATAAACATAAAACTTTAGCAGAATAAGAATGGTATGAAAAACAGAATAATCAGAAAATCACACACATAAACATATCACTAAGAGAATAATCAGAAAATCAGAAATAGAATGAGGGTAAAAACCACAGACACAGATATATCACTAAGAGAATAATCAGAAAATCAATGTACTAAGACCACATAGATTAGGATATTAAACACTAAATAAAACCCCAAATTAAACCCTAGCAGAAAAGCATAGTAAAATGTTCGAAACCACTAACCCTAGATGCAAGAGAGAGACTCTAAAACATGATAAATAAACAAAATCAACAATGACGAACCCTAGATTAAAACAGAGCAGACTTACAGACGTACTACAAAACGAGAAGAAAAAAACAAAGAGAAAAGAAAAAAACTTACCAAATACTGAAAATCCAGATGAAAGAAATGATGATGCCCCAAAAAAAAGAGTTAAACCACAGAAGATGCCAGCAATGGAGACCACGAAAACCCTAGGGGAGAGAGAGAGAGAGAACACGAAGAATGAGGGAAGAAAAAAAATGAACTGAAAAGACACAGCTTCAGAATTTGAACCTCGACAGATCGCTCGAGCGAAGACTCTCTCGCTCGAACGAAAACACTTATGCGCAAAGGTCGTTCAAGCCAAGAGTTGGTCGCTCGAGCCTAGAAAGCACGCTCTTAGGTCTAAGCAGTCAGCAGAAGCACGATCGAGCAAGTACTCCTTCGCTTGAGCGAAGAAGAAAAAAAACAAAAACAAAAAACATTTTTTTTTTAAAGCAAAAGCATTATGCTCAATATCATGAAGCGAGACCTGAAATAGAAATAGATTATCAAATTTAGCCAAAATTGATACTAAGATGAAATAATCTACAAACCATGAAACCTGCAAACTTGTAATTTTGACAACATGACACTTGAAATCATGAGCAAAGCAGATAAAATATAATCAGTGATCATAATGAGAATGTACAACTCAAAATCCAACATGAGAGCTCACAAAATAAAGGTGTGTGTGTGCAGTCCTTGAGAGGCCACTGAGCTAGAGCTAATCCTCGTCGTGATCGGATGGCTGGACCTCCGGCAAGAGTAACTAAACATCACAGAGAAAAGTCAAACCACTAGGAATCACGGGGTATTTGTTGAGTAAACGCGGAGGTTCCCCCTCAATCAATGAGTCCTTTTTTTTTATTATCATTTTTTTTTTCAACTTTTCTTTCTTGTGGGCACTCACTGGTGGCATTCACGCTCAAGGGTATGGAAACCAAACCAGAGAAGAATGAAATAAAAAAGGATGGCCTGGTTAGTGCCTTCGAGGTAGCCTTTTCCTAATGCTCGGACTTCAAGGCACTGAGGGAGAAACCGTAGAAGTGAAAAATGATGGTAGATGGTTAAGAGACTCAACATCACCAATGATTTACTAGTATCGGTCAATTCTACTGTAAAAGTACAAGAAACACTATTAGTGGTCCATAGAGAACTTTGATCATTTATGCGGAAACCCCTGTAACAATTTATCTCAAGGATGTGTACAGAATGAGATCATGAGGTTAATGAGCATGGGAATTCAAAATGAGCTATGAACAAAGAACAATGAGATCTTGTAAGCAGCATGAGTAGTGTACATATAAATTTGGATGCAAAAAAGATAGGAATCAATGACAATGAGATTATAGCATCCAAGCACACATAAAGCCAAACACTCACACCCACTCAAGGAACAAGTAACACTCTAGTGATCGAACATGACACCCAAGGTCTTTCTAAGGAACTCAAACCGAAGAAGATCAAGAGGTTTTGTAAAAATATCAGCTTTTTGATGCTTAGTGGGTACATGTTCAAGAACAACAAGACCTTCTTCCACTAACTCTCGAATAAAATGATGACGAATGTCAGTGTGTTTGGTGCGAGAGTGTTGGACAAGATTTTTTGAAATGTTTATGGCACTTGTGTTATCACAGAAAAGTGTGAGTGTGTTCTGTTCTATCCCATAATCATGAAGCATTTGGTTCATCCATAGCATTTGTGCACAACAACTCCCTGCAGCAATGTACTCAGCCTCAGCAGTCGAAAGAGAGATGACATTTTGCTTTTTACTATGCCAGGAAACCAAATTATTCCCAAGGTAAAAACACCCCCCAGATGTTCTCTTCCTATCATCAGCACACCCTGCCCAGTCGGCATCAGAAAAACCAGTAATTTCAGCTGTAGTATCAGTAGAAAACCAAACCCCATACCCCAATGTCCCATTAATATATTTGATGATGCGTTT